AACAAAGAGCTGCGCCATGAGCGCATGATACGCCCGTCGCTTTTTCAAAGAATAAAGTTCCATATTTCTTCAATGTCATTTCAGAAATTTATAAAAAAAAAACTTAAGAGAGGTATTGTCCGAAAACTGGAAAATCACCCTTTTTTAATGAATAAAACCCCATAACTCTGAAACGTAAAATCGAAAGAGAGCTCACGTCAATAGATATAAACAATTCGCCAAAGTTTCATGCAGATTGGTTAAAGCGTTTTCGAGTTATTGTCCGACGTGTTGACGACGGACAGAAAGAATGACGAACGGACAGACGGGCGGACGGACGGACAGACGGACGAATTGACAACGATATACCATAATAAGTTCCGTAAAAGGGCGTATAAAAATATAAATACTGATATCTGACCATTGGCAGATCCAAGGAGGGTGTTCCGGGGTTGCAATCACCCTATTATTCGATTTAATAAAGAAATTTAAATTACGATTCATGGTGTGCCCGGGTTGAAACCCCCCTTTTCAAACTGGCTGGATTCTCTTCTGACGACAGTCTTGTGAACATCTGAAGGATGTGATTTGATAGATGATTTGTAAAACTCTCTGATTTTCAATTTTCAAGGGGCCAAACAAATTTGCCTTATTGCACCTTCTCCTTTCTATCTCAAGTCCAAATATAAATATTATATCAATGAATAACTATGCAGATGTGGATCTATTTGGATCATCAAAGAAAAAATAACAACATTCATTTGACAATATATTAGGGTTATACTAGGAGGTAGCATTCATGAAACAAGTTATCAAAAATAAAATGATTTAGTACCAGAAATGTGAATACATTTTTTAAGATAGCTTCAGTTCAGTTTTCAGATCGATGAACTCTATGTACAAATAAACACAAATCTGTAATCACTAACAACGGGTCAAAATTAATTGAAATCATTTTCAATTCAAACATTAGTTTCTTTGACTTTTATTTAGCTCTAAATCATTTTATTATTGGAGACTGATTTATTGATCTTATAGAAAAGAAGTCACTTGTTAAAATATTTATAAACTGGACTTGACTAATAAGGAGCAACACTATTTTTAATGGACTGGACCATAAACTGTTGACACAGAGATATGTCTCGCCTTTTTGTAATTTTAATAATGCAGATGTTGATATTAACAGAGCAACACTTAAACATTTAAGTTATGCAAATGTTCAAAGGGATTGAAGTTAAAATTTTGGCATGGTAGCCCACAGCCAATATATATAGTTCAATACAAGAAAAGCAGAAATTTTAGTAGCCCACATCAAATTTTAGGGGTCCAAAATGTCCAAAGTCAATGAACCATGACTGAAAGTACATGGCTAAACAATCTCCATAGAAATGAGAAGTGCCAATGCTAATGCAACTGCATACCAAATATCATTGACTTATATTAAGTCGTCCCTTTAAAACACACCTAAACACAAACATTAACTTGTATACTATATAAAAGTTTCAAAGTCAATAAACCATGATGAGGGGGTGGGGCTATATATAATTTCCATGGAAACGAGACTTGCAAATGCTAATAAATTTCAAACCAAATATCATTGACTTAACATTAGCGGTTCATCTTAAACTGATCAAATCACAAACTAATACATGTACACTAAGCAAAAGTTTCAAAGTCAATAGACCATGACTGAGGGGGTGGGGCCAACTATTCCCCATGGAAATGAGATTTGCAAATGCTTATACAACTGCATACCAATTAACATTGGCCTAGCACTACTGACTCCCCATAAACTGGTCTAATCACAAACTAATACATGTAAATTTCATTTACCTACTACTAGTGGTTCTCAATGAACTAGACTTAATCACAAACTAATACATTGTTGACGCCGCCACCGCTGCCGCCGACGCCGGAAACAGCATACTTATGTCTCACTTTTTGAACCCGTCAAGCGAGACAAAATAGGAACAGCCGATTCTTGGCCAGATATACTCTTTTTCAAATGGAACGGACTGTCTTCAATTAGTAAATATACTAAATTAGAGTTGTCTCATTGCAATTATACCACATCTTCTAATTTTTATAAAACTAAAATTCAGATTGTTTTTTCTTTATTGGTCAACAAATAAATAGTAAGACTTGAAAAAAACTCACAAACAGACAATCAAAAACATTTTGATTATACCATAATAGGTACTTCTATAAGTAAAGTTTGTTTTTCTAATTGATTTTTTTTATTTCTTACATCTTCATGCAATGGCCCAAAAATGATACATTCCATGTGATAATAATCACAAACTAATACATGTAAACTAAGCAAAAGTATCAAAGTCAATAGACCATGACTGAGGGGGCAGGGCCAAATAATTTTCATGGAAATGAGATGTGTTAATATAACTGCATAACAAATATCACGGACTTAACATTAGTGGTTCCCCATAATCTGACCTAATCGTAAACTTAAAACTAGATATGGACGATGCCCCCCTCTGCTCTGCCACATGCATGAGTATAGTTCCACATGCTTTAGATTTGACAAACAGCGTTGTTGAAGTACAAATTGAAATTGTTGTGCCGTCTGTAAGACACAAATGATGTCCTGTCTGACTATTAGGAATTATAAATTTAACACTATGTATGATAATTTTTTATTTATATTCTGAATGTCTACACTTGCAGGACTCAATGTCCAGCCAAAAGGCTTCAACTTTCCAGTTTCAGTAGTCACCAAGTTCAACTTTCTATTTCCAGTGTTCACCAAGTTCAACATCCCTGTATTGATTAAATATTTGACAATACTAAAATATGTTATTTATTGCATTAGGGACATTAAACTGTAGAAGTATAAACCATGTTTTCAAATGTATAGCAAGTGAGAAGGAAGAAGTCCAACTACCGATTTTTGTGAATATGTAACATCCTCCTTTCTGACTTTTAGTACAAGAAAAATGACTAAGTTTGAGACTAGGCTTGTAAACGGAAAAAATGGAGTGAAAATTTGATCGGTTTACTTCCGTTGATGGTTACTACCTTACATGTAATGAAATGTTATATGAAATTTTAACTGTAGTATTGGACAGGATAAAACATCACCCATTCCAAATATTTCTTCATTTGAAAAAAAACAAACTGCACATTTTTTTTTAAATGCCAATTTAACAAAGACTAGTAGGGAAAAACAATGGTGGAACATGTATTACTCCTCAAAACCCTATTTATTTTTGTTCCTTTTTTATTTTATTAGCTCTTCAATATTTATATAAGATTTGGACTTTCAATTTGTTTGGCTTTAAGTATCACTGAATATACATTAACTGTCGAAATTTGTATCTGGTCCAGTAAAATTAGTACCGTAAATATCATTAATACCATTGATAAGATACCTCTTCTGGTGGACTGTTAGTCCCCATGGTAATCATCAGCCAAGTAGCCAGTACCTTGATACAGGTATGAAAGATCATTAGAATATGAATATTGTTATATTGAAATTTGCTGTTACACACAAAAAATGCATAAAATTGTGGAGTTCTTTTTTAAATATAATTCCCTCATGCATACCTCTGATTCCTTATGAGGGTTTGGGTTTACTTTTAGTACTTTTTTGTTTAATCACCTCTTCAACATTTGTGTTAGGTTTTAGTTTTTAAAATATTTTGGACTTGAACATTACTGAAGAGACATTAATTGATGTAATGTAAATCTAACACAGCAAAATTATTGCTGTGAATGAAACTGTCATATATATCAAACAATTTACTCTATAATGAAAATATGTACTAAGTTTCAAGTTAATGTGGCCACAATCAACCTTAAACCAAAACTTTTCCTGATATAAACAAACGGACAGACAAATGGAGGAATGAACGAATGAATGGATGGACAAATGGCACAAAGACCAAAAAACAGAAAATAAAAGAGTTCTAATGTCCCCGCGTAACACATATTTTATCTGTCAAAGGGCAATAACTAAAAAAAACAACTTTTTGTTTGTTCTTTAAAATGTTTATGAATATCTTAGAGAAATGAAGGCTACAGAGCAAATGCAATGCAATTTCTGATATAATAAATATTTCCTATCAGGATTACTCTTTTAAAAGTATTTGTTTTGCACTGATTTTTGTTTCCAAGACATTGCTGATATAAATTTGTACAAATCTTGCATAAATGATACAGGTGAGAGTGCTTACAATGCAATTTCCATCTAATCAATATTTCCGAGGGACATAACTCTTCTGAAATTATTGATCAGCACTGATTTTCAAACTTGTTCCAGACATTGCTGATATAAATCTATGATATAAACTTCATAAAAATCTGGAAAGAATTGTTCACATAAGAGCGCTAACAACGCAATTTTCCATATAATCCAAGGGTCCTTACTCTTTTTAAATTGTTGATCAGCACTAATTTTCAAACTTCTGCCAGAAATTGATGATAAAATGTGTAAGGGGTTCTACAGAACCCGATGTCTCGCCTACGATTGCTGCTTAGTGTTAAAGTGTAATGTTGACTTAAAAAGGGAGTCCATTTATCAGTAAAATACAGAATGTTAAAAAAGATTCAAACTTTCTCTTTAGATACTATTTCTTGGTCTTTAAGATTAGCTTCTGTCCAAGTTTTATAACAATCCATGAAGGTTAAAAAACAAATAATGTCCAAAAAAAATTAATCCCAGACTGTCAGTAAATGTTAAAACTGTAATAAAAAGTCCATCTATCAGAAAAATAAAATACGGTAAAAATGTAAATAAATATTTTCAACATTTTGCTCTGGATACTGTATTTTTGTCATAAACAAGCTTCAGTCCAAAGTTCATCAAATTCCGGTACCAGACAGATGGGTGCCCGGTATTTCTATGTCAGTCTGCATCAGACCACCATGTACTATAAAATGATTCTACATATGGGATATGTCAGTTGTTCTCGACTAAAATTTTATGGTTAATTTACATAATAATGCATGACGGAGATCATAATTTTTCCTTTTCAGGTCAGTTATTTTAACTCATCCAATTGGTCTCTGGTGGTAAGTTGTCTTATTAGCGATGATACCATATCATCTCCTTACTTTTATATTAGGTCATCAAATAAACCATGTCGACCCTCGGAACAAGGCTATATAATATATGCATACAGTACTAGTACAAAGACAATTTGCATCAAGTCTTCAATAAAAACAAATACCATTTGAAACCAGCCTAGCAAGAGTAATGCTCTAGGAAATACTATTATATCAGGAAAATGTACATGTATTACGATTTTTTCATATATAGATAATTGGTGAACTATGAGGACTGGGCCAAGCAGGCTAAAATAACTTATGATTTATATATGTTTAGGGCATGGCATCTAGTAAACCTATACCATGTGGACCTTGTCAACAAGCAACAGTTAACATAAAAGCTGACGTCTGGTGTTACAACTGTGATGAAGGATTATGTTCAACATGTTCAAGTCATCATAAACGGTCCAAAGGAACACGTGATCATAAGACAATTGATATAAAAAGTTATAAACCATCCGTCCGAGCTATCAAAACAGAAAGTGACAAACACGGTCAACAATTCCTCCTGTACTGCCCCAGTCATTTAATGCCTTGCTGTGATGTATGCATTTCCCTTAGTCATTCAAAATGCACTGGAATAAAAAGTCAAGCAGGTGTAGTAGAGACAACTAAAATTGAAAAATCTAAGGGAACTGTAGAGAGAGACATTAATTCTATCTTATCTTTTTTGGACCAATTAGTAAACAACAAATCAAAAAACATAAAAACAGTAGAACATCAGAATATGAGCATGAAGAAATCACTTAGAGACATTCGAATGAAAATAAATAAACATTTAGACCACCTGGAAAAGACATTATGCCAAGAAACAGATACCATTTGGAATCAGGAAAAATCAAAAGCAGTAGATTTCATCTCTGAAGTTGAAGCGACAAAGAAAAACTTGATGGAAATGAAAGAACATTTGCAAACAGTCACAACAAATACTTCAAAACTTCAATCATTCCTAGATGTACATCAGATTGAAGAAAAAGTTCATCAATGTCAAAGATATGTCGACGATCTGGAAAATGATGAGAGGATCAAAGAATTTGACTTCAAAATAAAGCAAAATAATGAAATAGAAAAGATACTTCGCAAACTAGTATCAATAGAATCTTTTGGAGAAGTAATGGTTGTTAAGACACAAACAGACTTGAACAAAGAAACAAGTGTGAGGATGGAAGCACAAGTAGAATCACAAGAACAATCCAATATACACAACATTACAATGAATATTGTGACAAAGATCAAGTTGAACATTATTAATTTTATTAGTGACATGATATGTCTGATGGATGGAAGAATTATAGTATTGGAAGAGAAGGGTAAAGTTTATCTACTGACTCCTAATGGAAAACTTAAGAAACAGTTAAAAATATTAGATAAAGCCATCAGTGTTACACAGATCAATCAAAACACTTTTGCCTTAACTTATCCTGATGAGAAAGCCATTAAGATCTTCGATATGGAGAATGAAACATTTATCAAAGTTATAACAATACACAAAGAATGCAGAGGTTTATCATTCTCCAATAATTCTCTTGCCATAGGTTTGGATCAGAATGAGATCTGTATTATAGACTTGGAAGGGAATACACTAAAGTCAATACAAGTTCACAGTATATCAAACCTGTTGAACCTTGTTTACTGTAATGACAGAGTAATCTATAGTGACTATCTTGGTAAAGCAGTATACTATTATGATAGATCAGGTGAACAGATCTGGCAATACAAACAGGATTTATCAGGACCAATGGGACTTTGTATAGATACTTATGGAAACACTTTTGTAGCAGACTATGTATCTAATAAAATAATAGTAAGATCAAAAGATGGACAGGACAGTAAAGTACTGATTAGTGAGGTGGATGGACTGATGTATCCTAAGTGTATTAATTTTAAACATATAATGAGTCTTCAGGTTTTATTTGTGATGACACTGGCAAATACTTGACCAAATTTGATTTATCTTATGGATGACATACACAATGAGAATTTTATGGCATTACTTGCCTATGAAACTATTAATATATAACCAGTGGTGATATTTGGCGTAAAGTGTAAGGGAAAGGAAAGGTAGACAAGTGTATAGATGTATATATGAATTGTTGGGTTACTGTCTAATTAATGTCAACCTCACATATCATTATATTCCTGAGTAGAGATATTTGATGTGAAGATTGAATGTGAAAAGAAATGCAGGCAAGAGTATAGATGTATGTTTTAAATATCCCTTTGGTATCTTCCACCCCTCAATTAGTGTATTGTTCAGTTACTGTATACATAAGAAATGACCACCTCAAATATCATTATATATAGAATAACCATACATGATACATTGTCTCGAAATATAAATTTAATTTGTACAAGGCTTAGAAACAGATAGAAAGCGAGGCTTTGCTGAGCATATCTGTCCTGTTTTGATCCGAGTACAAATAAAATTCATATTACAACACTTTTGAAATTTTAAAAGAAAAGAGTCTTTTTTGTCACTTTGTGTAGATTTTTTTCAACATAACTTTTCGTGTGGAGTGGTTGGTGGTGGTTGAAATATATTTCATAATTTTTGTGTTACATTCAGTGAATTTTAAGAAAATGTGTATTTCAACATTTTTTAGGAAAGAAATCTCCTCTCCAATTAGATGTATATTTTGGTTGATTAAAACTCGCTTCTCTTTGATCAGTGTTTACATTGAATTTTATAGCATAACTTTGAATAGTTATATATTGAGACATAGTTTATTTAAAAGGATTCACTAGCTATTTGAGTAATAATGAGCTGAGTTAAATTTGTCAGTCAGCGGATAACAAGATGTATTTTACTGTTTAGCTTGTGAGTTGTTTGGTGTTTAGTTAATTATAGATCTGCTGGAGTTAATTAAAGATCAGGGTTATACTTTGTTGACCTTTTCATACAAGTCTTAATGTAGGATTAAATATTGTCCGCCATGAAATTATGTGCACCAGACATTTTTTCACAGTAAAATGTGTCCACGGACATAATGTAAATTATGAAATATCGCCCGGACGATATTTACCTATGAAATCATGTCCATAGATGTGAAAAAGTGTCCTTCAAAGAAAGGACAATATGAAAAAGTGTCCTTCATAGAAAGGACAGTATTTCATGTGAAAAAGTGTCCTTCAAAGAAAGGACAATATGAAAAAGTGTCCTTCATAGAAAGGACAGTATTTCATGTGAAAAAGTGTCCACTCTCAATACCTAGGCTACAAAATGTATACATAGCTTCAGTTCTTTATCTTAATTGAAGTTTTAAAATTAGCATGGGGGTTTTGTCTCAATCATGTACACTGGAGTATTGAATTCATACAAAATGTGATCATCACTATAGTGTTATTAAACAGTAATACATTTAACAGAACTTAATATGAACTATGTGAATAATAATACATGTAATTCATTTCAATTTACAAAATCATGCAATATTCAAGAATAGTACTCATAAATACTTTTCTTCCTACATTTGACCTGTCTTGTTCTTTTAACAGGGTTTGGGACAGGAATATAAATGCTTTGAAATTCAACACCTTCCATTTTTGTTTATATCAAATTATAACTGGTTTTTAATTGGTTTGTTTTAGTATTAGAAAATTAAATATAGCTAAAACATTTCAATTACTTTTTTATTATCTCCCTTTAAGAAACACTTTTTACTGTGAAAGAGTGTCCTCTTATTGAAAATCAACCTTTACAGGACATAATTTAATAGTATATTATGATGAAATTATGTCCGATTGAATGGATACTTTTTCATAGCATCGGACACATTTAAATATACCTTTTCTGTGAAAAAGTGTCCTGGTGGACACTTTTTCACAGGACACTTTTATGGCTCACATTAAATCTATGACTTGAACTAAAAGGCAGAAATTTAAAGTCTTAAAATATAGTTTTATATGCAAGCCCTGAGACATTGCAAAATTATAGACTGCTGGTGATTTGTCAGTGAATTTATTCCTAATGTCATGAAACTTAATATTTGTGTTTTTGTCTTTATTGTGTTGTTTAATAAAAATCTTATTTCATGGATTTATCTAATTACATATAAAAGCCTTGTCCCAGGTCTAAGTTAATTTTTGTGATTAAAGGTATCCCTGATTATTTCCCTTTGTATGGAAATTATTCAGGACCACTTTTTTTAGTCTGATATCTTTTTCTTGCACTTTCATAAATTTGTGATTGCAATTTGAGTTGCAAAAACATATTTCACTATCAGTAGGTCGGTGTTGGGCAAGCTACATTTTGTCTGTCTGTCTGTTGCACCCTTTATCACTGTAGGAACCACAACCCTAGACTAGTTTACATGTGGAAGCTCTCCTCTAAAACTTACTGTAAAGATAGATTGAAATGGAATATTCACATTTGAATAAGAACTAAACACACAAAGAAATATGACATCTGAGATATAGTTTTGATACTTGTGACTAGATAACTGATGAGATAGATAATTTACTGAAACTTTGAACTAATACACCAGATGTTGTGATATCACTTGTGATTTCACAAACTACTATCAGTAGCCTTTTGTTGTTAATACAGCGCTGTCTTGTTTTGTCCCCTGGTTTTAATTAAACAATTCGTAATTATCACATATTGGTATAGAAGAGAGGCGAAAGATACCAAAGAGACATCCAAATTCATTAGGAGAAAATAAAGTGACAATGCCATGGCAAAAAAAAAGGACCAAAAGAAATACAACAGCATACAAAACACAACATAGAAAACTAAAGACTGAGGAACACGAACCCCATCACAAACTGTGAATGAAATCAGGTGCTCAGGAAGGATAAGCAGATCATGCTCGACATGTGGCACCCTTCGTGTTGCTCATGTTAGTTCAAATCTGGTGATAAGTCTAATTTGGTAGGTCACATTTGGGGAAAAGGAACAAGTGTGATACTCTGAAAGTCAGAATATAGACTAAGTCAAAAGATAACATCTAGTTATAAAGAGCAGACTTATAACTCTATACATTAGCAGTTTGCTTAGTGTCCTGTAAACTGCATTTAACATAGAGGATAATAAGGTATTGGATCACGCAGATATTTATATCGTAAACAGACACAGAATTAAAACACTTATAAGCTGGTAGTTGAAGCAGTAATTAATAACACACATAATAAATCTTTAAACTTTTCGAGACATATGTATATAGGTAGTGATAAAGTCCTACAGCAAAATCATAGGCCAGAACCAACATTAGATTTTGATTATAAGAAATGTTGTTGGGTTGCTGTCTACTAGATACATGTATAAAGAAGCCTATTGAAGGACGTTTCATTACATCCCTTTTATTAACCATGTTAACACTTTAAAGTGAACTCATATTAAGGTTTGATAAAATGCTTCACTGGCCGCAGCTTGATACTACCGCACAGGGTGAACCCTGAACAGTTGAAAGTATGGACACTACATTCAATCTTAATAAAGCTTAATACAGCTCTGAATTTGGATTGTGATTAAATATTTGACACAACATACCTTTCTGTCACAGAATGAATGTGGTCGAAGAACTGAAAAATTTGAAATTGGATTTACCTATTATGGTCCAATATCCAAAATTAAAATACACAATTAGATTAAGCATATTCAAGTACATAATATCCAAATACACCAAAAATTTAATTAATTTATTTATAAATGGACAATATAAGCGAAGTTTTTAAAAGGGTTCACTTCATAAAAAAAATATATATAGCATTCTGAAAACAAATTTATACATCATAACAAATTAAACTACCATAAAGTTATTCAAAAAATTTTTAAAAAAAATCAATTTTCAAAATATCATTAAAAAATCGGAAAAACTTACCTTTATTTTTCAAAATATCTACTAATGAATAGTAAATTTCAAACTATATTTATACATATTTTCTAAATTTAAAATATGATGCGGTATCTATTTTTAATTATGAGTCTACTTTTAATATCTATTAATTTTGCAATACAATTCTGAATTTGGATTGTGATTAAATATTTGACATAGCATAGGTTTCTGACTAGAAAATGAATGTGGTTTAAGAACATAAAAATTTGAAATTGGACATATACCTTTTATAGTCCAATATCTAAAATCTAAATAGATGGTTAGATTCAGCATATCAAAGAACCACAAGAACTCAATTTTTGATGAAATCAAACAAAGTTTAATTTTTGAATCTTTGGACCTCAATGTGGAAAATTTGATAATGGGGCCCAAAATCAAAAATATGAAAACATGGTTAGATTCAGCATATGAAAGAACCCAATATATTCAATTTTTGTTGAAATCAAACAACGTTTAATTTTGGACCTACTTGAAAACAGGGCCCAAAATCAAAAATCTACATACATGTTTAGATTTCACATATCAAAGAACCCACAGAATTCAATTTTGTTAAAATCAAACAAAAAGTTTAATTTTGGACACTCTGGACCTTAATATGAACCAATTTGAAAACCTTGCTCAAAATCAAAATTCTAAATACATGGTTAGATTCAGCATATTAAAGAACCCCAAGAATGCAAGACTTTGAATTAAACCTTATT